ACGCCCTTGATATCCGAGCCCGCATGGTTACAAAGACTCAACCTTTTTGAATATACGCCAATCCTTTGCATGTTAACATGTCCAGCAACTTCATAATTTTTACTACAAAAGCCCATCCTGCTCCACATCCGATCCCCATGAGCGGTATAAGAATGAACTAATTCATATAAAAAAGGAGATCTGTTTCCCATGACGCTAATCTATAATCCAATAAGCCCCGCGTGCAGAAAGATAAACGCCTTCCCGGTCCTGAGGTAACGAATGAAAACAAACATCTCCCGAATAAAGCAAACGAAATATTATGGCTCCGTTTTCTAATGTAATAATTGTGCATTCGTCCTTTCGCAAGAGATGTGCAGCCTCATGTCGTTTGCTGACTAGTCGTATCGTCTTCCACGCCTGCTACGAATAAAGAGTTCCCGACAGAATGTTATGAAAGATGTTTACGATGTCATTGAATATGTGCAAAAAAGTTAATTTGTAAGCTATAATCCCACAATCCTATGTGCCATCTCTTTCGTCTCCTTATTGATTATTCTAATATCCGGTTAATAATGATCATATAGTCATCACACTTTCCAAATGCGCTTGTCTCCTCCTACGAGTTCCTTGCCCCTTCCAGAAATATTACTTCAGAACAAGTCCAGAAAAAACCGCTCACACCCTCCCCAACACATGTACGTATACAAAAGATAAAATATAAACCGCATACAGCAAAACAAGGTATAAGAGAAAAACAAAAAAAAAAAAAGCTAGACGGGTTGAAAAGTATGACGGAACACTTACCCATACGGACTTGGGCTCCTCTTTCCATAATTATCATATTTGTTATTATTATATGAGGGGCTAGGAGTGCGTCTGTATAACGGACTTCGAGATCTATTTCTTGAGTGCGAGTAAGGTCTGTCGGGCGATCCTGAAGGAGATCTGGAATAACGACGATGTCGATCGTAGTCATCATAATCACGTCTTCTATCATCATAGGGAGACCTATCTCGATTGTATCTAGAAGACCTTCCTGATGGACCTCTTCCTCTACTGTATTCGCCATCCCCCCTACAAAGAGTTGATGATCCTGAGCCAACTATAATCTTTTCGAGCATACAAGTGTCCATTTTATTGTGAAATACCTGCAATATTTAGCCAAATGTCCAGGTTCCCCACATCTGAAACATCGTCCGCTCCGCACGTCCATGCCTTTCTCTCTAGCTTCGGGACATTCCCTGGCCCAATGACCTTGCCCACTACATAAGAAACAGCCACTCCCCGGTCCTCCTGAACGACGTGACCATTCGACAGCAATGCGAGCTCCGTCTAACTCGTAACCATTTAGTTGCTTAACAGCATCATCCGCATCTCGAGGATCCTTTATAAAAATAAAGGCGAAAGTAATAAGCAAGAGACGGGAATAGCAGCATGAATTTCCGCATATCAGAGATACCACCCGCTCTTGGAGGGGGTTTCGACAGTGTCCTAACCTCAAACTCTACAAATGCGTATCCCATAGGTTTAACTTCTACACTTAGTACTTTCCCATAGCGTTCGAACTATAAAATAGAGTGTGTGAAAAAAAACCTTGTATCATCATAACACATAGTTTTATTAAACTGTCGAAGCAAGAGCCAACTTTTTTCCCGTACCAGTTCCTCGAGATCTCTCTTCTCTGTTCTAGACGAAAGGTGACCTATGTACACTATTAACAAATTATTCACGTTCTTTATTGGTGAGAATCCTGCTCATAGTAGTAGTCTCGGGAAACAATAACAATATGACGCACATTTGCTCGGAGTTGACATAGTATACAAGTTTGTTCAAAGCTTTCTCAGAATGCTATTGTGCGAAACACAAACATGCTTTTAAAGATCTGTGCCGATAGATTTTCTATAGCCAATAATTGGACGGTGATTATCAAATAGAACTGGTTTGTGTTCTAATAACAAGTTGTTCAACCCAATTTATAAACAATGCACGAAACTAATGGTTATACGGACAATTGGCTGCTAAATACATCTCATCAAGCACCACGAGTCTAGCAGAGCGAGGAGTAAGCCAAGAAAAATGCTTATGCTGGAAGAAGAGAACCATTATCTGTTGTTGTTGATTAATTGTACTGATGTTTTGGCTTCATAATTTATTGGCTATTGCTATTCCCCTCCATATTCAATATTCTGTATTGCACGTTTTTTAGAATTTCACCTTGAAATATGGCTTACCACGAAACTAAGAAATTCCAATGACTAGACGAATATGACGCGTATATTATTGTATCTTTTGTAAATGCAACGTTGGTATTATCTATTGGGAAAGGTCGAGGAAGTTACCAATACCGGCCTTCTTTCAATTATCACCGCAGACGTTCATCAATTGAGTGATGACGCATTACTCGAAGTATTTTGTTAATATAACAACTCATCGGTTCTGTTTGTTCAGCACAAAGAAAAAGTATCTTGATTTACGATTTCTCATTATATGCTAATATTAAACCGGCACACTTTTTACCAAAGCTATCGGCATGGCATACACTGGGAATCGAACTATAGCAGAAGCAACTACGAATAAAATCAAGTAGTAATTGTGCGTAAGTAGATAGATATACGTGTAAATGCTGTTGTTTGGTTGTCGGTGAAGGCACTCGAAGGACGTAAGCCGGGACTTACACAGAAAGTCAGGTGAGTGTCGGCGCATTGTATCCAATGGAGAAAAATTACACAAACTCGACATGGTCATCTACCATTTCATCTAATAGTTCTCCGGTATATTTTTCGAAATCCTCTTCTGAGTCAAATTCTGCAACTTGGCCCTTGTGTTTTTCTACAATACTTTCATCGATAACTTTCTCATCATTAAACCATTTTTTCGATAACCTTCAGGATTTATTTTCAGTGCTTGGTTCCACAATTGAAGCACAGCACAAAAATAAGAGAAGTAATATGAAAAGTCTAAATGTTTGGCTGAGGTTGAGGCTTTGTTTTAGAACAGATCTGTTAGACTATTAAAGAGTTTTGATTTCCAGTACCACTCGATTGGAAGAAGGCAAAATATGGTGAATAATAATGGTCACGTGAGCTCTTCCATGCATCATAGACTGTGCCGACGTGAAGGATAAAATGCTCCAGACTGTGATTCACCTCTCCACCTATATAGTCAAGGTTGAAAGCTCGTTTTACCAGTGTGCGTTGCTTAACCTTTCCGATATTAAAAAATAAAAATTTATCTTAAAGTATGGATAACATCAGTAACGCCAAACTTCATTAATCGAATTTATTAACCAATAAAATTGCATTTTTTAAATAAATACCTCATTTATATCCCACCTCATTTATATCTATATTCCAACAATATTAATATACAGTACGTTATTTCAGAGAAGTGGAGTTAATAAGCTGAATTACTTTGTCTATTTCAAATATATGATTGAAAGATTGACATTCTGTGTTGAATTTACCTTCCACGCCCTAAAACGACCAATCTACAAGATTTGGCAAATGTAAAGTTAAGGTAACAATTTTAATTAGCTTTCTATAAGACCGTCTAGCTATTTTTGGTTAATTATCTTTTGCAAAGATTTATACTTGGGGCGCTGTCTAACGATTGAAAATTTGAAGCACGAGAAAAATGATCCGTGAGGTTGATGGAATGCAATCCTAGAACGATATTCGGTTATTATTATTTTTGGGTAATCTGTGAATCGATGATTTACCGAAATACAGCTTTTGCAGTTTCACTAATACAGCGTGTCACGAAAAAAGGCAAAAAAAATAGAAGCTCTTCGAACGCGTATATTTTATGCAATATAATTTTTATTTTATTTATTTATTTATTTATTTATTTTGTATTTTAATGTAAACACTTACGGTTGTTTTTAAACTGTCAAACAAGTTCAAACCTTTGTTTTGCTCAACTCTAGATTTTTGCTGTCAGATTTGATTACAAAATATCTCGATTAAATTTGAATACATTGCAAGACCATTAGTGGCCTGTCAATAGTCCAGTCTTAAATTCTATAGAAAATTTATGGCAATTGTAATTGGCCAAAATAATGTAGGGAAAGTATACTCAAACATTGTGGAAAGTCAGGGCACGGTTTATAATCAAAGAATAAAATTCTATTTCTGATAAAATGTTAATCAATTTAGTGAAATTGATAAAACAAAAACGTAAGCTGATTATGGAAATATTTGTGAAGAAATACTCTATTAATTTATGACAATAAAACCTCTGCTCATAAGCTATTAAATGAAGTATAAAGCTCATTCGTTACTCTAACCGTTGTAGCATAACAATCAACTCATTTCCTTACCAATATGTCGATAAGATAGTCAACGATTTAACTATGAATCTTTGAAAGTAAACAGTGTAAAAGTTGGAAGGCATGCAACGCCGAGGAACGAGATATTATCATCAACTTTACCGAACGTTATAACAAAAACAGCCCGCAAACTATGTGCTGAGAAGAACTTGTGCCTCAACTGCTATATGTCGGCAAGAAGGTATATGGATGGCGCTTAATGATAACGGATATATCGATGGGGTACACAGTTGGGTACACTTAGCCAAACAAACCTCACGTATCTGTTCTGACCAAATCGCAACAAGCCCAGATGATAATGGGAGGAGTAGACTGTACAATCAAATTTATTATATTTTAGTGCTTGGATAATTTGGATCAGAGAAACTAGTCATGCTTATTCATGAAACATTCTGGATGCTTTATTATTGGTATGTTTGCTTTCTATAATTACAAATTCAAAAACATCGATAAGACTCGGTGATGCTTTCCCATGCTCTTGGCTCTACTGCCATTAGTATTAATCTGTCCAGTCGTACTACCGGATCGACACGACGATAATCATTGTCTTAAATTTATCAACGGACCCAAATACGGTTATTGCGTAACCAATCACAATGCAAGCAGATATGCTATATCAAAGCGCTTTCAACTTTCTGCAGCTTTAGAATATTCACATATTTATTACAAGAACAATATATAGACTAGGAATATGGACAACATTACTGATGAAGTTGCAGCAATATCATCAGTGGAAGGGTTTACCTCTTACGAGCAGTATGTGATTTTAACAGTCCCTCTTCGAGCGTCTCTCTTTTTTTTCTTTTTTTTTTTTTTGCTCGTCTACGGCCCATTATTTTATTTAACTGTGTTGCACGATTTGTCTTGCAGTGAAGTGAAACCCAGTAGTCAAGAAGAGTTCGCCCGGATGCACAGTGGACATGAATCACAGCACAGTACGATGGCATTGATTTTGCTGGTCGCACTGTTTAGTTTCCAGTTTCTAATATTATACTGGAAACAAAAGCACTATCAATCATTCCAGATAGTTACTCTTATCGGGTTGTGGTATATATTATTGTCTATTACTCTTGTTTCGTTGTTGTATCCCAGCGAACATATATTTATGCTCTGTACGATATAGGTTAATACCAATGTACCTATTTGGTATATATTTCCAGTTTTTGAGATTCCTCACGATCTGGACTCTTTATTCTGCTTTGAATGGCTACAGTATGTCTTTCCTAATATGCCTTTTGTGAACCGTCTTTTTTCCTCGTTCTTTATAATTTTTTACTTGGGTGGTTAATTCGAATTATTTTTGCCTCTTTTAGTATTGCATCTTGCATCGAGAAAGCCCTTGGATCAGCAGACTCCAAAGTTAGTTTGCAATCTTTGTCTGATTTCAGTCTTATTTGTTACTTTCGTATACATTATAACTAATGTGAATGTACGTTCCAGACTTGTGTATAGGTGGTTCGCCGCTGTATATAAAGTATCGTATACAGTAGGAATATTTGGATACATTTTACTGATGCTTCAGTTTTTTGAGATTGTGAAGATATTCTACGATGGTGGAGCCGTTGCAGATCTTGGTATTATGCTGCTTTCTTACGGTCTATACTTTGGGTATGTCGATCTATCATGTCATCATATCGAATTAGGTTCTGTATTAATTATCGTTTCCATATGTCGTGCCTAGAGTGTTGAGCAGAGATATTGTAGAGATATGCACAGACCGAATGGCATCTGCATTGGGCTATTATACTAAAGATGGTCTTCCTAGTAAGGGTCTGAAGGCGGATATCTGCGCTATTTGTGGAGGGACAGCTAGTAGTGTCGTCGGTGAGGAGGATGAGAAAGTACATCAGTTAAGCTGTCGACATTTGTTCCATGAAGAATGTATACGAGGGTGGTGTCTGATAGGAAAGAAAGACATATGTCCATATTGGTATGTATGATGTTCATATGGCGACATCTGTAGTTAGAGCTTGACTTTGATGTGTAAATGCTGATTCAAATCTTTGCTTTTAGCAAGGAAAAGGTTGATATGAAAGAATTCAAGACCAATCCGTAAGTCTTTTATGCGAAATTCGTGACGTTTGTATCTAATTAATGTGCTAACTTTTTATAATTGTTCGATTCCAGGTGGGATACACAACAACAACTGTATCTCAGTTTATTAGATGGAGTGCGATATCTCGTTGTCTGGCAACCAGTATGTGTATTTCTTTTATTCAGCTGATAGTTCACATCAGTCAACCGTTTGAACTAAATTTTCTTGTTTTTGTTTATAGATAATTCTTGTGGTTGTGCATTTGGCGTACCATATGTTCGGATTAGAATAAGTCGTGTTCACATTAATATATTGGTGAAAGAAATTAATATTAACAACTGTACTACTTGATCAAAATTATATATTATCACGTAAATTGTAACAGATATATAATATGAACCTACAGCTAATTGAAATAATACACTGTAGACTAGCCCATAGAAACCAAAGATATATATATACAAGCAGCCACTGCATAAGCTATATCGGCGATTTTTTATATACTATTCTCTCTGGACTGTGTAGGTTCGGGTGTTGTTCGTAATGCAAAGTGGTGAGTCTTTTGATGACCATCTGGATGTATTAATAAATGACTTTATGTGAGACATGTATGTTCCAAGTCACGTCCAACATTGAGTGGAACTCATACCTATTTCAAAATCGCCCGTTTCCATGCAAACTTCACATAAATCAATTTCCTGGTCTTTTTCCATACAATCAACACATTGATATCGTGGGCCAACTATGGGATCAACCTGGCAGCTGTCACACTGAAATGGATCATGTTAGCGTCAACTTTGTTGTAAAGTTTATCGAGATCACTATTATTATACACTTACGCAAAACCCATAGTGTATCACGTTATTCACAGCAACGTCATTATTGCCATTCTGCAATAGTGTAATATACAAAGTTATACCCAAGTTGATTTCCACACACTTAAATACAAGTACAATATTCAAACAAATTTCTTATTGACCTTTATTCCCTTGTTGGCAATGCTTTTTTGAGTAGCATCAACTATCGTTAACATAACTTCTATGACATCGTCATCGTTTTCGTTCATTAGTATAGTTGGTGGTGTCTGTGAATCCATGTATGCTACTCCCGATACGCTGAAATAACAGTGACTCTTGTTAGCAATTACCAAGTATTCAATAAAGAATGTACCGTGATCAATATAAATACCGTGGTCTTCGCGGCCGACTATCTGGTTGTCTTGTGGGTTTAAATTTAGATTTGGAGACCACATCCGGACTTTTATTTTTCATCATCGATGAGGATGCTGAGAACTAGAGCCACGTTTCAGCAAAAATCCAGTAATCATGGTTTAAATATAATATACTTACGTTTAAATTTGGCATTCTTCCGGGAACAGGCAGCCCATGCTTGGCCAGTTTTATGAAGTATTTTTGTATTCTACTAGCAACCTGATCAAATTTCCCGTTAATAATATTATTTAATGAACTCGTACAAATGCACTTCATCAATTAACTTTATAATAAACCTGTTTAGGCGTCCTTGTTCCCAGTGCCATTGAAATCCTCTTGAACCGATGCGACTGAATTTCCTCATCTGGATATATTCGTAATAATTCTACCAAACGTCGCTGCAATTCAGACAAAACTGGTAAATTATGGTAAAATAAGACAATTCCAAATTTCCTTAACCGTCAATACCTGTTCCTCATCAGTCCAGGGAACATTATGATTGGCTGGCTTTGAAAAGTCGTTATCTGCTGTCTTTTTGCAAAATGGTAATTTTAAACGAGTTTATATAGGCTATAAGCATTAATTCGCAACAAGTAACTATTGTATTACCATATTCCCGGATTCACTAAATGTACCCGAATACACTCGTGCATTTGCTGCAGCAGAACTGGTTTCCATTGCAACATCCTCAGACTTGATTTCTTCGACATCGTTCTTTACGGTACTAGGCTCATTGGTTACCCTGGAATACCATAAAAAGTGTTGAACGTTTGATTGCTCTGACTCTTTCACACCGGAATGCTCGCGGTTTCACACCATCCTTCCATGTCTTTACCTCTTATTTTCATTCTCTGACGGGAACAACAATTCCATACTCTTACCAATTCCTTTTCCCCGTGCCGGTGCCTCGCTATACCCACTACTCCACCTTCTTCCCCCATCACCATTATATCCTTCGGATTCAGACTTTGATTGTTTTCTCTTTGGATATAATCCAACTGACGCGCCTACTTTTAATACAAATGCCATGAGATCAGATGGATCTTCTGGAGGCGCATCTGGGCTTGTTATAATTGACGATATGGCATCCATCGAAGAATGGGATGTCGACGACGTGGGGCTCGTTGGAGAGGTAAGAGATGGCTGTTGGAAAAGAACGAGCAGTGAGTGAAAAGACTAAGTGACAAAGAGTTAGGTTTTAAAGGAGGTTGAGTGAAAGTCTATGCTGATTACCTTTGTCTCACTGTTTGATCTGTAAGGATGATATCGCGTAGTGTCCCCACCAATACGCAATGACGGTCGTCGCGGGTATCTAGACCAATCTATACTTGGCGTTCTATGAATGCGCTGCCAGTTTGGTGTTTGTTCTAAAGTCTACACGCAGAAACAAGCACTTAAACTTCTATCAGTCGAATCTATCAAAAAAGACAACCTGTAGTGTTTTTACCAATCGTTTTCTTCTAATTGCAAGTGGAAAGTAAATGCTCTCGTAGACTTACGCCATCACGTAGTTTTTCGGCAAGAGAAATCGGGTCAGCCAACCCATGCTGTTTTGCTAGTTTCAGTGTGACTATGTCAGCCCGTGCCTGTTCGAGCTGACGGTTCAAGGTGTCTATTGCGCGTGTGACTCGTTCATAGCTAGTGAGTATTGGATGTATTTAACGTGTAAATAAGCTTCATTGTCATAGAAGAAAGAGTATAAGAGTGGTTCTAATACAGACACTCACTCTTCGTTGCTATTAAGCAAGGCATCAATTACCCCTGGTGAAGACTCTTCAGACATTGTACTAAGTCAAATACATAATCGATGAATGATGGACAGTAATTTTCATAATATGGTTACACAAATCATTCTTACTACATATAGTACAGTCAGGAGTTTTGCCAAATTTAGACGATGCAGATCGTACTTTTTATGGGGATAAATCAATTCTAACATTAGATTGCAGAACATGTTGAGAATATTACCGTATTTCTCCCCCCATGAGCGGCAATTTTGAAGGCCAAATTTTGATTTATATCCGGGTATTAGTTATGGTATCCCTCCGGCATATATACCCCCCCCCCTGCGATTTGTACCCTCCTTCTAACAGCCAATTAAAATTTAAGATCAGAGATAACACAAAATTTGTTCAGTAAATAACAACAAATTTATTAAACTATGATTATTCCCAAACATTACTGCCTCCGACTTCTTCATATTCTTCACCGTCAATACTATTGAAATTCATTACTTCAGAATTTTATTCTCATCTAACAATTCATAATCAAACACCACATCGTCCTCTGTCTCGTCCATTTTGACTGAAACACCACAACACTTAAACGCTTTTACAATCAAATGAATATCAACTTCTTCCCATAAATATCTTATCGCAATTGCATTTTAATTTTGAAGTTTTTTATATACTATACAGTATTAGAAGTATCTGATAATGCGCGTTAATTATAATATACAATTTCGAGAACATGACTCCGCAACCAATAGAAGTTTAAAGAAACAAATCGAGATATGTACCCCCCATCAGTACGATGTACCCTCCCCCCCAACACACATACACGAGTACCCCGGGTACTAAAACGAACAAGGGGGTATTCATGTCGGAGAAATACGGTAATATTAAAAGTGTTCTGACACAGATCGGGACGACCCAAATCAAAATAAGCTCAGAGTGATATTTATTTCGACATTGTCACATAATTTATGCACAACGTAATTACCAATTTTCTCTTCGTTGTATTATAATAACAATAATGACAGACAAAAACCAACGGAAAGTTATTATAATTACATTGTATAAATAAACAAAACCATTGGTGTGTAAAATTTACAGTAGTGTGCAAAAGTAATGAGAATTTTTTTGTGCACAATAAAATTTTATTTGTGATGCCAATGTTACCCTAATTAAAAAACGGTTTTACAGAATAAATTACACATTAATTATAAATAAAGTTATGCTATCTAACCTTAGGGTAAGTATTATATTTAGCACTATACATCTACCTCAAAATAATGGTTATCTCTCGCACAGCAAAAAAGCACTATAAGACAATTGTGGGCTAATAATGTATGAAAGCCAAAAGTTCTTTCTGAAACAACAGGTGTCCCGTTGTCTACTGTGTACAGATATCTCGCCCAATTAAAAAAAAGATGAATAGAATGTGGCTTTAAGCCATGCTGAATTGAATTGGAAAAAGGTAGTATTTCTGATGAAACCACATTCCAGATGTATAGAAATACTATTAAAGTTTATTATAAAAAAAATCAACCACTACCACGAGAGCCTATGCCCAAGCATTCTTACAAAGCTCATTTTTTCAACAAAAGGCCTTATTGGATATTTTATTTTTACTGAAAACATGAATGGAGACCTTTACAGGCAAATTCTCAATAAAAATTTATTTGAGAGTGCATCCAGTATGATGGAAAATCTTGGATCTTTCAACAAGATAATGATCACAAGCATACAGCTAAGGAATTACTCAAGGCTAAATGTCCAAAAGTGCTGGATTGGCCTTCTAATAGCCTATATCTCAATCCAATTGAGAATCTATGGGCAATTATGAAAAGAAAGGTTGAAAAGAAGGTGAATAAATGCTTGGTTACAAAAAAAAAGTAAAAGTTGATTATTTCAAAGATTTTATAAGAGAAGAATGGGAATCGATTGATAGATCAGTTTTACTTAACTTAGTTAATAGTATGCTCAGACATATTGGTGATGTGATTGCAGGAAAGGAAACAAGATTAAAGGCTAATGTTGATATAACACGTTAAACAATCTGTAAAGCAACTTTTGCCTCCGCTTAAAGATGAGGACGTAATAATATGTTTATTGGTTAAGCGTAACTTCTACCATTTTATGAGCATCGAAGGGTTAACCAATTGAATAGAATAATCTGTAATGTTAATAAAGTTAACAGTCAAATTACGGTATGCGGCTTTGAATTTTTCCACATAGGCTGTCTCTCCATATCCTCCATAATCGTACGCCTTGAAGTAAAGTCTTACATGCCTATGGTTTCTTGGTGACCTTGATGCGAAAATGCAAAATGAAACTATCCAATTTGTAAGCGCGAGATCAACACGTTCTTGTCAAATACAGTGTGTGACAAAAAAAATTGGAATTTTTCTTTTTTAATATAAAAAGTATGATAAAAGTTTACAAATATATGTATTTTTATACAAGAAACAAAAAATTCTATTATTTTTACATAAAAATTTTCAAATGTGTTCTTCATGTTGTTACAAGCGAATTTATTTAATTAAATACCTTAATAAAATTTTTTATAAAAAATGTTTTTGTTGTTTTTTTACTTATAATTACTTTTTCGATATTTTTCCCCAAAAATTAATTTATAAATTAAGAAAGATTTTAATAAAATAATCTATTAACTGTCCTTAAGCAAATTTGTTCTCTATATTATACAAGATATAATTATAAATTTTGGACAATTTTGATTTTTATTTTTTTTTTTCATCACACAATAGACTAAAATATAATTTCACTTTTTTTTTGTCCCACACTGTACAAATAAAGAAGTTCTTGTCGAATACATTTGCGCATGAATGAATAAGCATTCGACGTGAAAATTGTAATACTGATGATGGCTTTATTTCAGTTTATTATAATTTGTCGTCGTCACTAGACATCACAAAAAGTCGGAAAAGAAAAGCTTGTTTTATTGTAACGATTAGTGTGTAGCTATGCGCAAATTGTACCTTTATCTAATCATCACTTATATACGCAATCTTCATCTTCATTCAGTAACGTTACTTCTATACATACTCTATATTGCAATAGATAGAATATTTGTTAGAAGTCGGAAAAGAAAAGTCTTATTTTATTGTACCGATTAGTGTATGTAGCTATACGCAAATTGTACCTTTATCTAATCATCACTTATATACGCAATCGTCTATAACGTTACGTGTATTTCCATACATGCTCTATATTGCGATAGAATATTTGTTGGAATTGACAGTCTTCTCATGATGATAAAACAACGTTTAAGTATGATATCGCTGTGATCCAGTTATTATAATATGATACACATAAAGAAAAGTTAAAACATGATCCAGTCGACTATCTTAACGAAATTGGATATCTTGTGCCTCAAAAGCAAAATAATATTATCATACTTTTATAGATCAATTAGTACAATATGTACTCATCTTGATCCTCATAAAATGGTAAAAAGTGACACTTAACTAATAAACTTATTGCTTCGTCCTTATCATTAGCACCCCCAGCCCATTTTAAAATAGTAATTGATTGCTTTTGTGTGGTAGCGCCTCGCAAGCTCTTTCCAATATGCGGCCAGAATCTCAGCTTGTAAAATGTAACGTACGAGGAGACGACACGAACAGCAGATATAGTCTGATCAGTAACTACACGAGATTGGCATATATTCTCATCCCCACAAGCAAACGTATTACCATGTGAACGAAAAGAGCAAAAAATTGCCAAGGACTTCATGACATCAAGTGTAACATTTTTAATGTCTTAACTCTGGTCGTGAAATTGGGACTAAAGTGACTGGAATTACTCTAGATTAAATCCTTATATGTGCATGCTTGTAACGAGCCAATCAAAGTTTTCGA